CACTCACCTCAGCCTCCCAAAGTGCTGGGATTACAGGCTGAGCCACCAAGCCCAGCCATGTTGGCTTTTATAGGCTTGGTCTTTTTCCATCAAATGGGTCCCCTGAGTATCAGTTGTTATACCATGATTTCATAGTATGTATTTCATGTCCATTCTAGGGTACCCACTGAAGAAATAATACAATAAAGTCTTCTATTATGTATTTATTTATTTAAGTCAAGGTCTCTGTCACCCAGGCTGGAGTGCAGTGGCACAGTCATGGCTCACTGCAGCCTCGACCTCCTGGCCTCAGAGCAATCTTTCCATCTCAGCCTCCTGAGTAGCTGAGCCTATGGGTATACACCACCATGCCTGGCTAATTTTTTAATTTTTTGTAGAGACAAGGTCTCGCTGTGTTCCCCAGGCTGGTCTCAAACTTTGGGTCTCAAGCAATCCTTCTGCCTCTGCTGGCATTACAGGAATGAGCTACCACACCTGGCCTCTCCAATTGAAACCCTGTTTCATGCCAAGTGATTTTACACTAAAACATTCATGACTGCTCTGAAAGAAAAATACTAGTATCTTCATTTTATAGACAGAAAGCACTAAGGTTTAGAAATGTTCATTCATTCCCTGAAGGCACACAGAAGTTAGTAGCAGAACCAGGATTTGAAGTGGGTCTGCCCATAAAATCTAGGTGCTCTCTAGCAGCTGTCAGATAACAAAGTTGGACCTGAAAAAGCATGATCAGAAATGACACACTGGTTAACTCCCACACTAGAGAATGTGACTTGAGAGCACATCTTTATGACTTTCTTTGTTAATTATCATTAGGAAAAAAATGACTTTTCTGTTTTCAAGAACTTAAAAAAATTCACTTCCCTGAAATTCACAGAAGAGCTTTAGTTTATTTTTCTCCTTTACAAATAAGCAAAATGAGATCTAAGTTTTTAGAAGTGCATTTATAAAAAAGTTTTTTAGAAGAGTTTAAAATAGCTCCAAAACATTTTATGATATGACCATTTTTAAAAGAATTTTAAATTATTTTTCTTTTCCTTTTGCAGTAAACTTGTCTTTTACCTTTATCTGACCTACACTGAAACCATGAATTATAACTTAATAAATTTTACCGAGAAAAAGCTGATGTTTTTGCATTTATCTTAGGAACAATAGACACTGAATCTAAAAATGATTTTGAAGGTCATGACAACAGTGATAACAGAGAGGCTGTAAATCTCTCTGGGAAAGTCACTGTAACCACAGAGCAAGATAAGGAGTTCGGAGAGTCCCACGATGGGAGCGATGAGGTTACTCTAATGTATACATTGGGATCCAAGGAAGAGAATGCTATGTTTCAAGGCAAGTGAGCACACAGATAATACATGATGTTGGTTGGCTGGTGTAAAAACTGTTTCTAGAAGACAGATTTATCTTCTGTTAATCTAAAGATGATACATCAGTATCTGGTTCTATGTACTCTTCAAAATCCTGTATGCCTTTTGAAAAGCATGTGTCAGGTCATTTTATTCACAATGGGATTTCCATTTTCGCCTGTTATCTTTGAATATAAAGTACAGAAATTTACATGTACATTCTCCAGTCATAATCATGCAGTTTTAGGGTATCGTGAGAGATAATAAACTTATTTTCTGCCACAGATAATAGAGAAGTATTTTTATAACTTAAATAGTCACCCCTTCTAGATTCTAGCTTAACTGTCATACTGAAGTAGAACTTTGCCTTAAAATAGGAACTTTCCTTTTTATCATGTTGCCCTCTAGCCGGGCGTGGTGGTGCACACCTGTAATTCCAGCTACTTGGAAGGTTGAGGCTGAAGGATGGTCTGAGCCCAACAGGTTGAGCATGCCACTGCACTCCACCCTGGGCAACAGAGTAAGACTCGAACTCAAAAAAAAAAGAAAGAAACTATCTTGTTGCCCTCTTTGAAAAGTAGGATTAGGAGGAAATGTTCTTCTGTGTTTACTTTGGACCATATGTGTCATGGCTCTGGGTCATCCTAAAATGTACTCAGAAGGCTTCTATGAGAGGAAAAGTAGTAAATATTTAGTCTTGATGGCCACATATGGTCTCTATTATGTATTTTTTTAAACACTCCTTTTAAAATGTACTAACCATGATTAGCCAGGGATCCACAGAAAAGAAGGTCACACAAGTTTTGGCCCAAAGATCACAATTTACCATCCCCTGACCTTAAGGGAACAGACTTTACTAAAACACCAATGACTCATTGAAAATCTGTCTCTGGCAGAGACATGCTTTTTTGACACATTGCCTAATGAAATAGTTATTAAAGATTCCTGTGAATGGTTATTTCACTAGGAGATTGGTTATTTAAAATCATGGTAAAATCCAACATTATTTGGAGATTCAGTGCTCTCCTTAAGAAAATAGACATTGATATTGTTTTAAAACTGGCATTTTTGAACTTTTTCCTCTAGCAAGCCATAGATTTGTTTTTACATCAGTCTCTAGCTTTATTTGCCAGTGAACCAATGTCCAATTGCACCTTTTCTAGTGGACACAATCCAAAAGCACTGAATGGAGCATTTCCTATTAAAATGATATGTGTTGCAGTATCAGAACACTGAAGTTGGTGGTTTTGGTCTCAAGCATGCCAAACCCATAGAGCAAGAGTAGACGACTCAACTGTGATTGTGGTCATTGCTTTGCAGATAACCTCTTTCTAGAAAAGGCTATGCAGCTTGCCAAGAGGCATGCCAATGCCCTTTTTGACTATGCGGTGACAGGAGATGTGAAGATGCTGCTGGCTGTCCAGCGCCATCTCACTGCTGTACAGGATGAAAATGGGGACAGGTAAGTCAGGACTTCTGCATGATGGGTTACTTTAGGGAAGAGGGAAAAACATTCTATACTGGCTAGAGACAAGAAGTATTTTTCAAATTTACTGGGCCCTCTAACTGGAATACGTTCTCAAGTAAAATGGTGTATCAATAAGGTTGAGTAGCAAAATTTGCTTCTCCTCCCCCTCTGCTTTCACCTGTTGGACTGTAGAGTAGCTGGAGCTCTTAACTAAAAGTACATCTCTTGTGCTCATTTTGGCAGCACATATACTAAAATTATATCTCTCTGGGCAAGAAAACTAAGATATGTAGAGGTAATGGTACTTTTTGAAAAGGCTTGCTTTACTTATTGGAATAATATTTGGAGAATTGTTAAGAGTCCTGCCAAATTCTTGAAGCATTGAATATCCCAACTATACATTTTTTTTGTTTATTTATTATATCAACTATACATTTTAATGATAGCATACTCAAGAAAAAGTCCAATAATGGTAGCAACAACAACAAAAACAAAATGATTAAGAAGCAATTGTCATTCTTTCCCAGTTACTGACTCTGGCAATGGTCACCAGTCTGTCTCTTCTGTACTGCTTCCACTAATGGTCACCAGTCTGTGACTGGTTCAGAATCCTGTGACTGCTCCAACCCATATTGTGTGGGAGTCAAGCATTCTAAACACCATGCCTTCCATTCCTGCTATTACTGAGATTGCATTTGCAAAGCCACTGGCTTCTTTCTAAAATAGTTCTCTTAGTCCTTTCATTGAGACTTCTAAAATGATCTCAAAGGCCTATAAAAATAATAAGAGACAACAGCTTTCACATTCAAGTCAAGTGCCTTATCTGAAACCTTCCTAAAATAGCATGAACACTGAGACAAGTTTTTCTGTGGAAGAGCTCTTGAGTGCTGTATTTTAGTCGGTTTAAAAACGAAATCAAGCACTTTAGGAAAGTGCCAATCTCAGGGTTTCAAGCAGAGACCTTTGTTCTTGTTCCTTGCTGCATAACCAAGGATGTGGTGTAACCACTGGCCTTGTTATACAGTATGAGAGAAACCAATACAACCATCTTTGTATAAGGCCATAAACAGCATAATGTTTTTTCTGAATTAAATGCCTAATTAGCATTCAATAGCATATAATCACAAGAAAAAGCAGTTGGCCAAGACAGGACAGTGGTGTTTCAAGTGACATTTTTAGAGGGCTGCTGAACTGAGAAGTCTAAGAAAGATGAGCACATAAAAGTTAGAGAATGCTGGTGTTTGAAGGGAGGATTGTAGAAAGGGATACAAGGTACATGCATTCCAGTGGGTGTTTGAGGAGAACGCATTGACATACCTAGAGACCCTGGAACACACAGACAGACCAAGTCATGATGAATACTTAGCATCCCCTTCCAGGATCCAAAAACACTCACACAGCTGGCTCTCAGAAGGGAGATATGAGGCTTGGGGAGACCAAAGAGGAGTCCTCCTAAAAATATAGACAAAGGGGCAGTTTTTGGCCATCACAGCTAAGTCCTCTTGTTTTCATTTGGCTTGACATATTTGGCTAATAGTCTGAATCCCATGGCTATTAGTCATCATGGAAAATACAATAAAGAAAAAAAATATAAAACCTTCTGGTATTGGGGAAATTCCCATAAGGGTGTGAAGACTTGAGAGAGAGGGGGAATGTACTTCTGCTATGAAATGCTGAGCTGCACATGGAAATTTTTAGGCAGTTTTTGAAGTATGACCTTTTTCTTGGTATATGTGTATCATGCGTATGTCAGACTTTAGGCCCTTTTCAGAAGTCTTCCTTGAGCATCACATTTCAAGAGTCAATAGTGAAACCCTGAAATCATCCATTTAAAAATACCAAGTAGTCAAATCACAATTTAGTTTTTTAGGCCTTCCTATGCCAATGTTAATCCCAAGTAAAATATACTTGTTATTGCTAAGAAAGAGACTTGAATAAAGTGGCACCTGATACCTTTAAGTCAGAGAAAATCCAATCTGTAGCTCAAATCCTAGATGTAGTGCCATGGTGGGATGCTTTAGTATTTTCTGCACTCGTCACACTGTGGAGCAGTCATCCTCTTAGACGTTTGTCTGCATCTCTATGGAGTAGGATGAGGTGGCTTTGGAGTAAGACAGGCCTGGGCTTGCATCCCAACTGCAGCACTTACTAACTGTGTGACCTTTACTGAGTTACATTATACCTGTAAGTCTCAGTGGTGTCATCTGAAAAGTGGAGATAATATTACCTCCCTCATAGAATTTGTTATGGTAAATGAGATAATGCATGTCAAATGCTTACATAGCCTGATAAATGAAAGCTCTCAACTAGTAATGGCCACTTTTATTGTTATTGTTGAGTTGTTTCAAATTAATTTTAATAGTAAGTTTTCTAATAATTAAAAAAATTATATTCCTGGGCATGATGTTTGGCACCCACCAATATTTCCAGCCTCATAGCATAAACCCATAGGTTTCTTCTATCTTTCTTATTTTCGTGTCTATACTGTGTGCTAGGGCTGTAAGGCTGACTCAAACAGAACCTGCCCCTGAGAAGATTACAGGCCAGAAAAGGAAAAAGATGTACAGTATAGAAATTCACAGTTGCATATCCAAGCAGTAAATTTGAGAGGGTTGACTTGCTCCACCCAGGAAGTTGGGAAAGTGTTTTCTGAGGATATAAGGTTTGAACTGCACTATAAAGGATGGAGTAGGCATTGCCCAGGCAGAGATAAGAAACAAAACCATTCCAGGAAGAGGGAGAGGGAATATTTACCAGGGTGCAGGGGTGATGGGGAATACAATCACTTAGTTTCTTCAGAAGTTTGCTGTAAGAATTTTCTTCCTGCTGGACTCAGTAGCTCAGCCTGTAATCCCAGCAATTTAGGAGGTTGAGGCAAGTGAATTGCCTGAGCCCACGGGTTCGAGACCAGCCTGGGTAACTTGGCGAGACCTCATCCCTACAATAAAATAAAAAATAGCCAGGCATGGTAGCATGCACTTGTAGTTCCAGTTACTTGGAAGGCTGAGGCGGATGGATGACTGTGAACATGCATGCCACTGCACTCCAGCCTGAGCGAAGGAGTATGACTCCAACTCAAAAAAAAAAAAAAAAAAAAGAATTTTCTTCCAATTTAAAAGTATTCTCCACTCTTAGATCTAGGAAGATCTTTAAAAGTCACTACACTATATTTTGGAGGAGAGAGGCAGGGCTAGGTGAGGTATCTGAATTTTTCTGAACAATTCCTAGTACCAAACATTCATTTTACATATGTAATCTGTATGTAAGAGAAACTCAAGGAAAAGGTTGAGGAAAAAACACTGGAAGCCATAGTACATGAGGTAGAATTGGGATTAAGCTTCTGACCTGGAAGCCTGGATGCATTTCCACTTCAAAGATTGGGACGAATGCACCCAGAGGCCAGACAGGGACCGTAAATAAGGGTGGCAGCCTTGAGTAGGCAGTTGGGAAGGGCAGATCCTCGGAGAGAGCATTCCACCTCAGGTTCAAGACACTTTATAGATTCAAAACATTTAGAGCCAAATAAGACTAGGTGTGAGAAGCCAGATTCAATCTGCAAGTCAAAATATATCTTGGGAATCTTTTCTTGCTTATTAATATTTTAGTTAATTATTGCCACTATATTTTCATTCCAGTGTCTTACACTTAGCAATCATCCACCTTCATGCTCAGCTTGTGAGGGATCTGCTAAAAGTCACATCGGGTTTGATTTCTGATGACATTATCAACATGAGAAATGATCTGTACCAGGTAAGCAGAAATCTCAAGAAGACAACTGAAGAAAATCCAGTTTGTTTTTATTTTTTTGTACATGTGGATGCATGCTATTTTTAGTAATGTTAACAGTAGCAAAAACAAAACCTCTTGGTAAGTAATATCCTAAAAGCTCCCATTAGTTGAGAATGTTATTTCATGAATGAGGATCCTTTGATCTGTGGGTACAATAGCAATCACCCCACAATGAAATTCAGCATCCTCCTGGAGGAATGCAGACTTTAAACTTTCAAAATCAAAGAATTGAAGCATTTAAGAGGGAGAACTTAGAGTAAAAATATCACATCTGTCAGAATAAAGTTGAAAAAGTTATGTTTGAAAAGCTAATAATTTCAAAGAATTTTGAAGTCAACTGAAATATACTTTGCAATATCCAGATTAAATGTACATATATCAAATTAAAGGATGCTGAATTCAGAACACAGTAAGGTAAAAAGATTGCTTGAAGAGGAAAAAGTCTCTTTCAAAAAAAGAAACCTATTTGAGATCAGCCTAGGCAACTTGGCAAGACCTCATCTCTACAATAAATCAAAAAATTATTGTGGTGGCGTGCTGGTGCATGACTGAGGTGGAAGGATCGCCTGAGCCCAGCAGGTCAAGGCTGCAATGGCCGTGAGCATGCTGCAGTGGCCGTGAGCATGTCACTGCACTACAGCCTGGGCAATAGAGTGAGATTCCATATCAAAAAACAAAAACAAACAAACCAGAAGGATAGCTCAAAGTAAGGAAAACTGTGAACAGCAGAGTTTTGCCCAAATCAGACTTAAATAGGAATCAAAAAAAAAACTTGAGAAATTATTTTACAGAGCGCTTCCAACATTGCAAAGAAGCTCACTGAAGGCTCAGTAAGGCCCCTGATGGGCATGTGCAGATTTCAGGGTGAGGTGAGGGCAATGGAAGCTGCTGGAGCAGAAGCAAAGCCTGGATGCCGGTGTCAGGAGCCCAGAGACCTCAGTCAGCCTTTCTGCCTGATGCAGTACCCTGGCACAAGGTCAAGATGGGGTTTGGCAGTCCTTCTTCCCACCTTCTTCTTCTCCTGCCTTTGCCCCCTTCTTAACCTTCATCTTGCTCTTTCCCTTCACTTGACCCACAGCACCTTCTTAGTCCTAGTGCCCAGTCCCCTCTTTCAGATTATCGCTCACTCCAAAAGTAGAGCCAAAATTGTGTGTAATTATTTCCTTAATAAAGATACCTATTCCAGTTCTCAGTTTTTAAAGCAGGTAATTTGTGAGTCACTTTTATTTTCTCACTTTAAAGGAAATGTTTTAATTATTTTAAAGGAAATACATTTTTAATTTCCTTTCATAATAAAAATCAACTTTCTTTCACTTTTAATTAAGTTATTTATTTCCTTATTTTTATTTCCACATTTTAAAATGGGCTTTAAAGTGTATTTAAAGGTTGGGCGCAGTAGCTCAAGCCTGTAATCCCAGCACTTTGGGAGGCCAAGGGGAGGGGATTACCTGAATTAGCCTTCCAAGTAGCTGGAACTACAGGTGCGTACTACCACACCTGGCTTATTTTTTATTTATTGTAGAGATGAGGTCTTGCCAAGTTGCCTGGGCTGGTCTCAAACTTGCTGTTCTTGAACCTGCAGGTTCAGGCAATCCACTTGCCTCAGCCTCACAAAGTGCTGGGATTACAGCACTGAGCCACCAAGCCCAGCTTGGTCTTCCTCTTAAAGACTGCTTAACTCCATTGCCTATAGGTCAGATTCAAGGTGTCACTTTTTTTTCTTTTATAAATAGGATCTGCAAAGGACACAGTACAACAAGAGTAGTGGCTATGGGTTTTTCTGTGCTAAACTCCTCACTGTATCATTTGGTTATATGTATTGAGACTCTCCAGTGTGCTAGAGACATAAACCCGAAACCATCACCATTGAAACTTCTGTCCATTCTTATTTGGGGACTCTCAGAAGAATACAGGTCCACCTTCCCCACCTCACCACCACTCTCATTAACAATCATGGATTCTGTTCCCTGTATACCTTCCCGGTCTCAAACACGCATCCTGTGGCAACTCTGATTTGAGAACTAGAAACTACTGAGATTTGAACTCTTTATTATCTGTTGTAAAGATTCTCTGTTAACTGTTCTTGATGGAAAAATGATACAGTTCTCTAAGTCATTTGAATAATTTAGCAATTACCTTAAATATTCTCCCCAAATATCTTTCATGAATCTTAGTCTATTTCTGTGACCATCTCTCATGATCAAATCCCTCTCTCCACCCACCCTCTAGAAACACACTCAAAATAGTCCAAATGCACAGTTAGGATCTTTCTGAAAATATTCTCTTAAATCCTCTGTTCCACTCTCCCAAACTCCTTCTCCCAACATAGACAACCACTTAGTGTGTTTGATATGTACTGTTTTATTTGTATATGTTTCCATAAAACATTATTGGCGATTTTGTGCATGTATTTTTCTTTTGTTTTGATAATAAATATGATATATATTCCTAGTTTTTTAAATGGTACAAAAGGATATATATTGGAAAGTTAAAGTTGCCCTCTCTGGCAATGCACAAGTCCCCTAGCTCAAATGTAACTATTGTTTTATGTAACTATTGTTTTGTAGGTATTTTTCCAGTTATTGACTACATAAAGACATACACTTGAAATACATAAACATTTTAATATACTCTTACATATAATCCACATTATATATACTTCTCCTGCCTTGCATTAACCTTTTTTAAATTTTAAATTTGATATTATTACACAGGGGGCAACTTCAAAAAACCCAGAAATTATTTATTAAAAATTGTGTATTTATTGTTACATGTTTAAACTTCAGTCACTTTCAAAGTACTCTTCATCTGATGCAATACACCTACCAAGATGCTTTTTCCACAGGTAAAAACAGTTTTTATGTCTTTGGTTTAGTTATTTTTTTAGAGGAAGGCTCTTGGCAACAACATTTAAAGTTTTGAGGGCATCATTTCATTTCAAACCAGGGTGATTGTTCTGGAAAATGAAAGAAATAAGGAAGAGTAATAATTTGGCCTAAAAACAAAAATCTGTCTTGTTTCTACTATATAAAATAATCACTACAATTAAGATTTTGACAAACTGCTCATCATTAATCCTGCCATTCTCCTGTACTGTGTGGTCTCCAACATAAGCTGGGTATTGGTAACTCACCTGCTGCTGCTGTTGCAGCCAATAACTGCTCAGTGAAAGGGAAAGTTTAAGCAAATTGTCATAAGACAGGCTGGATCTCATAGTTAGGCTCCTGTGAAATAGACTGATTTGTGTACATCTTTTTTTTTTTTTTTTTTAAGTTGGGGTCTCACTCTGTTGCCCAGGCTGGAGTGCATTGGTACAATCATGGCTCACCATAGCCTTGACCTCCTCCTGGACTCAGACTGATCCTTCTACCTCAGCCTCCTGAGTAGCTGAAACTATGGGCATGTGCCACCGTGCCTGGCTAATTTTTTTATTTTTTGTGGAGACAAGGTCTCACTATGTTCTCCAGGCTGATCTCACACTTCTGGCCTCGAGCAATCCTTCTGTCTCCATTTCCCAAAGTGCTGGGATTACAGACGTGAGGTACTGCACCCAGATGTATAAAAATATATTTCTGGCTGGGCACAGTGGCTCAGCCTGTAGTCTCAGTACTATGGGAGGCTGAGGCGAGAGGATTGCCTGAGCCTGGGTGTTCAAGATCAGCCTAGGCAACTTGGTGAGACCTTGTCTCTAAATCACAAAAACCAGCCAGTTGTGGTGGCATGCATCTGTAGTTCCAGCTACTTGGAAAGCTGAGGCGGAAGGATCACCTAGACCCAGCAGGTCGAGGTTGTGGTGGCCATGAGCATGCCATTGCAATCCAGCCTGGGCAAGAATGAGACTTCAACTCAAAAAAAAAAAAAAAAAAAATATATATATATATATATATATATAAACTGTTCTCTGTCGGTGACCTAAGTTTTCTGACATACCTTTGTGATTGTGTTTGGCTTAGTCATTTTGAAAACACACAGTTTTCAAAACATCTTATTTGCATTTGCTGAAATACTAGTTTGTGAGCAGGATAGTCAAATGGACTATTAAGTACTTACTGGGTATCAGAAGTTCAGCTTTCTTGTTAATCTGACCCCTCTTAGTGAAATAGTTGTATTACCCTGGTTATTTGATTTGGAATTCTACAGCACCTTTCATGGAATGGAAGGTGGGAGAATTATACTGATTGGTCTCAGGAGTCAGTTTGTGGAACAGTATTTTTAAATTTAGTAATATCTTTTCCATGTCAATATGGAATCAAGGCACCTTTGTTAATTGTTTCTATTAAATAGTTTATTTAAACTTCAGTGAAACCATAGCTTTGATTTGATTTGTTAACATATAGAATTATCAATTGAAGATAATTCCTACTACAAATTTAAGAAAACTAAATTTACTCTTAGATGATTTAAATGAAAGAATTGTAAATGTAAAAATAATCCACCACAGAAAAGTGAAAAGTATGTGAAGTTATGGATTTGTCAATTAGGCTGATTTAATCATTTCACATTGTAAACATATCTGAAAACATTACATTGTACCCAATAAATAAATACAATTATTATTTGTCAATCAAAAATAAAATAAAATCCTAATTTTGGAATGGCTATGTTAGTCCAGCATACATGCTTTTTTTCTTTCTCTATTTTTGACTTTAATTTGAAATTATTTCCTCCCTTTTTAAATTTTTTTTTTTTTTTTTTTGAGTCAGAATCTCACTCTGTGAGCTGTGGCATGCTTGTGGCCTCCGCAGCCTCTACCTCCTGGGCTCAGGTGATCCTTCCACCTCAGCCTTCCAAGTAGCTGGAACTACAGGTGCACACTACCACACCTGGCTTATTTTTTTATTTATTGTGGAGATGAGGTCTTGCCATGTTGCCCAGGCTGGTCTTGAACCTCTGGGCTCAGGCAATCCTCTCACCTCCACCTCCCAAGGTGCTGGGATTACCGGTATGAGCCACCGCTCCTGGCTAGCTTTATTATCATATGGTATGGAACAAGAGTAACTCGCATGCAAAGAGAGGAGTTAATCTGGGAATGAAAAATGGCCCTGCAGTGTGGCCCTGCCTATTTCAGTGACAGCTACCAAGCCATTGGTTATAAATGTTCACCACTGACCAGTGAATCTCCTGCCCCTTCTTCACCTCCCAGACGCCCTTGCACTTGGCAGTGATCACTAAGCAGGAAGATGTGGTGGAGGACTTGCTGAGGGCTGGTGCCGACCTGAGCCTTCTGGACCGCTTGGGTAACTCTGTTTTGCACCTAGCTGCCAAAGAAGGACATGATAAAATTCTCAGTATCCTACTGAAGCACAAAATGGCAGCACTACTTATTGACCAACCCAATGGGGAAGGTAAGAGACAATCACACGTTACTGGTATAACCTTCTCTATCCACTTTCTAAATAACTACTAGATATTTTATAAAGTTGCACCCAAATTTATTTGTTTTGCACTCAAAAGTGCTTTCACTCGTCACCATCTCATGTGGGTATTTCTGTCGCTTACTGTAGCTAATTCCTTTAAAGATGATTTGGAATAGTCATCCAGTAGAAGGAAAAAGCAGAGGCCTGAGCAAACACTGGTCTTGAAGTATATAAAGCATCATTTATTCAGAGATTGTTTATTCAGCCTCAGTGTCTCCTGAGAACATAATAGGAGACTGCGGGCTTTAAATGCAGAACAGTGGACTCATAGTGCCTTTAAAGAATATCCCGAGTAGATTACTAGATGTCCTTCAAGTGCTAAAACCTGATGGCATTCCTCCCAGTGGTCCAGTTTTCACTATTTCTTTTAGCTTCACTGAGGGTCATCTTGTGAGCTCACCCCATGACTGTCCCTGTGCTTCACACAGGTCTGAATGCCATTCATCTAGCCATGATGAGCAACAGCCTGCCATGTCTGCTGCTGCTGTTAGCCGCCGGGGTGGACGTCAACGCTCAGGAGCAGAAGTCTGGACGCACAGCGCTGCACCTGGCTGTGGAGCACGACAACATCTCCTTGGCGGGCTGCCTGCTCCTGGAGGTGAAGGACATACTTGCATTGAATTCTCAAGGGATATCTAGGGAAACCTTTTCAAAGAATGACATCAGTCATCAGTCAGCAACTCTTCTCCCAGCAGTCAACCCTATTTATTTTAAACACTAATGCAAGTCTTCAAAATAGCACCCTTGGGCATTCCCTCCACCGCTGGCATCTCTAATTGGGGTTTCTTCAATGGAGGTGGGGACAAAAAGACTAGAGAACCTTCCACTAATCCTTTCCTGTATGGGCTGGATTTTAGGGTGATGCCCGTGTGGACAGTATCACCTATGATGGAACTACACCTCTGCATATAGCAGCTGGGAGAGGGTCCACCAGGCTGGCAGCTCTTCTCAAAGCAGCAGGTAAGGTGGTCTGGTGTTCACTGATAAAAAATGTTATCAGGAATGCAAAACCAGCTTCAGTAGAGCAGCCATGTCACCTTTTTAAACCACACACCTACTATTGAGAAGCATGGGTAAATAAAAATTCTACAGTAGGCCAGGCTCGGTGGCTCAGCCTGTCATCCCAGCACTTTGGGAGGCTGAGGCAAGTGGATTGCCTGAGCCCATGGGTTTGAGACCCACCCAGGCAACTTGGCAAGACCTCATCTCTATAATAAATCAAAAATTGGCCGGGTGTGGTAGCTTGTGCCTGTAGTTCTGGCTACTTGGAAGGCTGAGGCAGAAAAATTGCCGGAGCCCAGCAGGTCGAGGCTGCAGTGGCCGGGAGCATACCACTGCACTCCAGTGTGGGCGACAGAGTGAGAGTCCAACTCAAAAATAAACAAAACAAAAAATTCTACAGCAGATCACATTTTATCAGCCGTAGATGCACTGTTTGACCTAGTAATCCTGGTTTTAACCCTGTTTAATCTATTTGTTTTGAGTTTGGTTGTTTAGGCTGACTCCCGTGACAAAGGATCTTATTAAAATAGAGTTTAGGTCAGGCTGGGTGGCTCAGTTTGTAATCCCAGCACTTTGGGAGACTGAGGCGAGTAGATTGCTTGAGCCCACAGGTTCAAGACCAGCCCAGGCAACTTGGTGAGACCTCATCTCTATAATAAATCAAAAATTAGCCAGGCATGGTAGCATGCACCTGTAGTTCCAGCTATTTGCAAGGCTGAGGTGGAAGGATCACCAGAGCCCAGCAGGTCGATACTGGAGTGACTGTGAGTGTGCCACTGCACTCCAGCCTGGGCGACAGAGTGAGACTCCAACTCAAAAAAATAAAAATAAAAATAAAAAATAAAGTAGAGTTTAATTCCTTATAGAATTCTGAAGGGTACCAGTCTCAGATCATGTCAGAAGTCCCCAGAAGAAAAAGATTATTGACATAAGAAATAATTTAAAGACTTAAGAAAGAAATTTTGTGTGTGTGTGTGTGTGTGTGTGTGTGGTTTAGAAAGTCTATTTTTATGTTTTACTTGTGTTATATTATACATGCTTAATTATTTAAATTATGTTAATTTTATTATAAAGATGTGGGGTACAATTCAGGGTTAGGTATACAAACGGTGATGGTGCAGGTACCCTTGTTGATGAGGTGTGCCCCTCCCTCCCCTAGCAGTTTTCCTCAAATGCCAATCCTACCCCCGTCCCCTGATAGTTTCCCACTACTACCAGTTCCTTTCTTATAGTATTATAATTGTTCAAGGTCTGCTTATGAGTGAGAACATATGGTACTCTGTTCTTTGTTTCTAAGATAGATCACTGAGTATGATTGACTCCAAATTCATCCAAGTTGCTGCAAAGTGCATATGTTTGTCTTTCTTTATGGCTACATAATTTTCCAATGTGTTCATGTACCACTTTTTTTTTTTAATCCAGTCCAGCTTTGACTGGCAACATAGTTGGTTCCATGTTTTTGCTATTGTGACTAGAGCTGCAACAAACTTTTTTGTAGAATGATTTGAGTTTCTCCGGGTATATTCCCAATAGGGGAATTGCTGGGTCACATGGAAGGTCAATTTCTAGTTCTTTCAAAATTGCCACACGAAAGATAATTCTCTTAAAAATTGAAATAACAGGAAAAAAGCAATGGGCCATGTATTGAATACTATTATGCACAAGGCACTAAAAATTGCTAAAGTTTATTGACCTCACTGCATAGCAGACACTGTGCTAGGCACTTTATGCGCACTGTCTCATTTAATCCCCAATAAGCCTTTGAGATAGATACTATTATTGTTATTTCCATCTTAGAGTCAAACAAACAGACTAAAGAGACTACCTGGCCCCATTCTAGGTCCCATTAAGTGGCAGAGCTATGAATCACACCATGGTAGTGTGAACTTCCAGACTTTACTCTGTCTGCTTTGTTTCTCTCTCCTACTTTGCTCGTGGGCTTGCAGGTGAGATTCCATTGAATTATCTGGTCTATACTGGGAAGTATAGAAAATTATCCTTTCTCATCTTTGACTCTCCAGTACCTTGCATGTTTAGAACCTCAAAAATGTTTAATGAAATTGATATCTCAGTCCTGCCCTGGCCTACCTGATTTACTTTAGAGATGGTTTTTTTTTTTTTAATCTAGCAGGTATATAGTTTATAAATAGAGCAAGTTAAAGTATTATCTTAAAGATATAGGAACTTTTAGGGGGAGGTCATACTTTTCTGACAAGTTAAATCATATCCCAAATAAACAGCAGCCTTTTCTCCTTTGTCAAATTGAGGTTTTTCTTGAACAAGAGATTCTAACTGCAGTGTGTATGAATAGTTTTGGAAATCACTGATTATAATTAAGAAATATCTTTAGACAAGAAGCTATAACCCTTTTAAAAATTCTTTCTCTTGAATTCTCAGAATCCCATGAAAGGAGTAGAAAGTAACAGTTTCTCTGTTATATAAATGAAGAAACTCAGATGAAAAGCCTAGTCCTGAGCTCAGAGTCATGAAAAGGGCCACCTAAGCAACAGATATGGCTTAGTCCCTCCAAACCTTCAGTCCTGCAAATTGTTCATTGTAATTTCTCCATAGTTTTCATTTACTGCTTCATAGATCAGACCGTGAGTGGGAGAGTGAAATCAAGGAATAGTATGAAGATCCTTCTTTGGTTCTCATTAAGCACTCTCCTCTAACTGAAGGCTGGTCCAAATCTAATGTTCTTTCAGCAGGATGAAAACAAGTTCCTTCCCCCAAAAGGGTGTCATTAGACATCAAGCCAAGCATTCTCATCAAAATAGTCTGTAAGCTTTTGAGAAGTAACTATTGCTCATATCTTTGAATTACTTTTGGTAGTTTTTGTTTGTTTGTTTTGCTAGAAGCTAAGGAACAGACTGGATCTCCCAAAGTTATTTAGTAACTACACATCCTAGCAGAAGGTTTTTGTTTTTATTTAAGGATCAGGACCACAGCATTGTTGTACCAGGAATAAAACTGACCATGCTATCACTAGACATCAAGCATCTTTGCTCTTTTGAGTCAGCAAGAAAAGGGGCTGAAAAATATACATTGGCAGGCATAAATTTGAACATTTAGGACCTTAGTCGTGAGGATGCACCCGAGTCTCTGTAATCTGCTGTCTCTTAGTCCTCAGATTAAAGAAAGATGCATAAAGTCGGAGTATTCAAAGTCTTTAATTTTCAATAGTATTCTTGACTATATAGGCTATCGTAAGACACTTTTACAGTCAAAGAAAATTAAAAATTTAAAAGAGGTTCTCTGGCTATTTCTGTAGAAACATGTTTTTTGCATTAAAAATTATCCAGGTGATTGCCTTTAGCAGCTACTGTGCTTTGCCCTTGGAAATCTGACCCCTGCAGGCAGTTAGAAGTTGTCGATGAGACCTGGGTTTACCTATTGCTGTGTAACCTAACTTCATAGGAGCAGATCCCCTAGTAGAGAACTTTGAGCCTCTCTATGACCTGGATGACTCTTGGGAAAATGCTGGAGAGGATGAAGGAGTCGTGCCTGGCACCACACCTCTAGACATGGCTGTCAACTGGCAGGTGAGTGCTGTATAGTCTGTCTGACAGCTATTCCTGGGGAATCCAGAGGTTCAGGAAGGTCAGAGCAGATGGTCTTCCTGATGCTTTAATCCCGAAAGAACATGCCTTTTATTTTTAAGAAAGTCTGCTTGTTAAGAGCTGTATTTATCTTGAAAAACCTTATCCATGTAAGATCTAGGTCAGCTGAGTTCTAAGTGCCAAAGTGGATGCCTAATCAGATCAGAGTTGAGATGTGAGATATGAAGGTTAAAAAAAACACAAAATTCTCATAAAAGCTACCTATTCTGAACTCACACCAGAATTGTTACCATCTTGACTTCTGAAGCTAGGGTAAATGTTATTGTTTGCTTAGAATTTAAGTTCTTTCTGAACATAAAATAAAACTACAAATTTTTCTGAGAATTTCGATAAAGATAAATAGATTAACTAGATGTAAAGCCTTCCTTAAAATCCCACTGAACTGAGATCTGAGGGTGAAAAGCAGTTACTAGGTCTTTTCAGTCCAGGGAGAATAGCCAAAGGGAGGAGGTGGGCAACACACAGGGCCTCCAACACAGCAAAATCAAGTCTATTAGAGGCAAGAGTTGCTCTCTTTTAAAGCTGCTCATCTGCCTCCTTGAAGCCTGTTGAGATGAGCTGAGTGACCTGGCAGAGACTCCCTTTATGATAGTGCCTTATTCCCCAGAAGGCCTCACCACAGAACACAGAAGGATAGCCCACTCCAGTGACCCCCATGTTGTCCTTACCCAGGTCAGCCAGCAACAAAGTGACTGGAGAATATCAGCAAGGCCTTCATGACTATGGAATTTTTTTTCTTTTAACCAAAGACATTTCTAGACCCTCAGTTAAAATGTAAATGGTGCCAGAATGTTCACACCAAGCCCTGTGAACATATATACAGCTCAGTTTGAACAAGCTGAGATGTATGTTAAATTAAATTAAAATTCATTCTCAGAAGCCTTATCAAGGAGGAGGGAACACAGCCTCACAGCTCTGAGTGAGCTCTAGCCTTAGGTTTCTGAGCAGGAGATAGCTAACTTGGTGTCTGGACTGCCTTGTCCCTCAGAAAGTTTTTGGCTCTGACTCTCTGTTTGGTTTGTTTGGTTGCTCTAACCCAGCTCAGAGAGATTCTGCAGAGCACAACTTCCCAGCACCAGAGACCCACAGCTGTTCTTCCCCCAAAGGGCACCATATTCCTGAGGGATGGTCCTGACCCCTCCTGCCATTCCTCCAACTTTAGGGCTCCAGGCCTTCCTAAGGAGAACATACTGAGTTCTTATTAAGAAGAGACTGCCTTCCCTAGCGGTCTTTTGATGTATAATGTTTTCCCATGTTTTTGTTCCTGACAGGTATTTGACATATTAAATGGGAAACCATATGAGCCAGAGTTTATATCTGATGATTCACTAGCACAAGGTGGGTTGTGGTAGAACCAATTCTCTTAACCATTATTATCTCCATGCTACATTTAAAGGGGGAGAGGGAAAACCACCATTGTCCAGGGTCTGCTGTGAAAGGCACAGTTCTTTTTTCATAATCAGAAGACCCTGGAGGTATGTGAGAGAGAATGTGTAGTTTTCATCTACTGTAAATACATACTGGTGTCACTCAGCTGAGTTGCTGCTATCTTTCAAGTTAGTAGCTTGGTTGCTTCCACTGTGAGTTGGAGGGCAAGCATGATGGCAGTGACTCTCCCTCCAGAGTGTCTCTGGTAGACTAGGACAAGCATCTTCCTTCTTCATTTTTTGCAGGAGACATGAAACAGCTGACTGAAGATGCAAAGTTGCAGCTCTATAAGTTGCTAGAAATTCCTGATCCAGACAAAAACTGGGCTACCCTGGCACAGAAATTGGGTCTGGGGATACTTAATAATGCCTTCCGACTGAGTCCTGCTCCTTCTAAGACGCTTATGGACAACTATGAGGTAACACATCCCCTTTCACATTTAGAAACTTTCATTTGACTTCAGTCTGTCAACATCCCTGGCCAGGGCATAGTCTCCTTGCCTATTTCTAACTCTGAGAGAAAAAAAGTCATCACCCAAGGCCTGGGAGGGTACCCCATGCCAAGGTGGAAGCTCATCTTTTGGATTATGCCATGTTCAGATACCTTGAAATTTTCCCTGTTTTCAAATAACTGGAGACTTCCTGTAAAAATGCTACTCAGGGGATCAGAATTTCACAGAACTTTGGTCCCCCTGAGCAAACATGATAGACTGCAATCACAACAAGCATAGCTTCCTGTCCCCAACAACTACCCTTGATTGCAAGCTAGGGCACTGAATCAGCATTCTGTGAGGTGACTCCTGATGGAGCCTTTACCTAGTGATGCTTTCATTTCCAAAAATAAAAGATAAAAAAGCAAGGAATGAAGTTATTTTCTGTTGAAAATTTCACTGTTAGCTATTGCTTCTCCATGGGTTTCAGAGCTTCAGCTTACACAAGAAGTCTGTGTAGACTTCACTCCAGGCAGTACTACTGCCTCAGCTCTTGCTGGAGGTGGGTGGGGAGAGTGGGAGGTGGAAGGGCAGGGGGTGCGTGCACACTTGCTCTCTCTCTCTCTACCCCGCCAGCCCTCCCTTTACCCCTTCCCTCCCTCCCTCCCTCCCTTTCCTGTTTCTTTCTGCTTACTATAAACCACTTCTCTGTGATTTTCAGGTTAGTTTTTAAGCTGAAACAGGAAACTTGACTCAAAGACTATGTGTTTCTGAGCCATTCTTCTCTGCCCTTAGTACCACCTGGCTGTCTCTGAGTGGAGGAGGCAGCATGGGAGAAGGAAGTGGTAGGGGTGGGAAGGGACAGTGCTCGCAGCCTGCCCAGGAACTGGAGCACAAGATCATACTCCCTTTTGTTTTTCTGTCACAGGTCTCTGGGGGGACAGTCAAAGAGCTGGTGGAGGCCCTGAGACAGATGGGCTACACTGAAGCCATTGAAGTGATCCAGGCAGCCTCCAGCCCAGTGAAGACCACCTCGCAGGCCCACTCGCTGCCTCTCTCACCTGCCTCCACAAGGCAGAAAATAGGTAAAGAAAAAAGGCAGAAAAAACCTATTCCCCCAGTCTGGTATCTTCGGCTCTCTTGGGATATGGCATGGCAGCTTCCTTTCTCTCACCATCTTCTGAATATGTTCTGCTGTGTGCCCGGCTGCCCCCTGGGCTCACCTGACACTACCATTCAGATGGTGGGGCCGTTCCCTTGGCAAACCACACTGACATACGAGCTACTTGATAAATACCAAATAATACAAGAAATACTAAAAATATGATGTGGGTGGTTAAGATAAATATTATTTCTCTTATTTCTTAAATTCACCTGTGCCCACGTTGGCGGCCTTCCATCCAGGCTTAGTGGGTCAAATGTCTGTGCCCAGCTGAGGAGCTACCTCGCACTGGGCACATGTCCTCTCACCTTTCCCAGCTTCTTGCTTCTATAATTCTTGCCTCTCTCCCCTACATCAGCCGTTCCTCCCTTCCCCTACCCCCCTACTGGATCACTTAATAAGCATGCTGTCATTTCCTAATTAAAAAAAAAAAAAAATCACTCCCTTGTTCCCACATCCCCTTTAGCTACAGTTGAATTTCTCTGTTCCCCTACCCAGCAAGGTTTCTCAGAATAATGTTGTAGAGCTGTTCTTTCACCTCTTCACCTTCCACCCTCCCCATAACCTCTCTCTTACTCTCATCACCGTGACCGGTCACCTCTACGCTGCTAGATCTGGTCACCATCTTTCTCACCTTCTCAACCCCTGGCAGTGTGTGTTGCAGTTATCCCTCCGTCCTACCTCAGATGGTCTCCACTCTTGGCTTCTCTCCAGTCAGTCCTAACTCCTCCTTACTTCTTTGCACAGAACTCTTTTTTTTTTTTGAGTTGGAGTCTCACTCTGTCGCCCAAACTGGAGTGCAGTAGCATGCTCTCGGCCACCGTAACCTCAACCTGCTGGATTCCAGCAATGCTTCCATCTCAGCCTTCCAAGTAGCTGGAACTGCAGATGCATGCCACCACACCCGGCTAAGTTTTGATTTATTGTAGAGACGAGGTCTCGCCAAGTTGCCCAGGTGGGTCTCGAACCTGCGGGCTCAGGCAATCCACTCGCCTCGGCCTCCCAAAGTGCTGGGATTATAGGCTGAGCCACCGAGCCCAGCCTGCACAGAACTCTTGATTCCCCAATGTGGCCATATCTGTCTGAAGCACTGCCATCCTCCAAGAGGTTAAGACAAAACCGCTGGCTCAGGCAATCCACTCACTTCGGCCTCCCAAAGTGAAGTGTCCTCCCTTTTATGACAGTTGTCCTATTCTACTCCCCCTTCATTTCCTGCCAAGTTTCTTGCAACAGCTTCTAATCAGTCTCCTTATTTCCTTCCTGTCTACCTCCCTTCACCTTTTCTCTACCCAATAGGTGGTATAATTTTTTTTTTCTGAGTTGGAGTCTCATTCCGTTACCCAGGCTGGAGTGCAGTGGCACACTCATGGCCACCCTAGCATCAACCTGCTGGGCTCTGGCGATCCTTCCTCCTCAGCCTTCCAAGTTGCCAGAACTATAGGCATGCGCTATCATACCCGGCTAATTTTTTGACTTATTGTAGAGACAGGGTCCCACCATGTTGCCCAGGCTGGTCTTGAACCCGCAGGCTCAGGCAATACTCTTGCCTCAGCCTCCCAAAGTGCTGGGATTACAGGCTTGAGCCACCACACCCAGCCATGAGTCTCTTTAAGAAGTAGTGAGATCACTAAAAATTAGTGAGCTTACTCCTGTTGTACACCCTCAAGTTCATTCATCCATTAACAAATCCTTATCATGTGCATACCGTGTACCTAGCACTGTTGGAGGCTTTGAGGACAAGACCATGTCCCTGCTTTACCCTTTGTTCTGTTAAGTGCTGCTTTGATCGGCTCTTCCTCTCACTGCCCTTCTGCTCCCAGGTTTTCCCTCTGCTCCCCCAGCTCACTGGTCTAACTCAGCTTTAGGGCCTTTGATTCTCCTCTTCCCCTTCCCTGGAAAGCTTCTCACTGACTGGCCTTTTCTTGCCATTCAATTTTCGTACCAATATCACTTACCAAGGAAGTAATCCTAGGAAAGTGTGGACAGATGTCATTGTGCATACTTTAGATAGGAATAATGTATCAACCAGGAAAATGACCCAGATTGCCTATCTCATGGCCCAGTGCTCCTTTTGCATAAATATTCAGAGAAGAAAGTAAATACTTATATCTTTAAAAAGGAAATACCTAAGCAATAATCTCATATCTCTAAATATCTCTCGAATACTACACAGTAACTAGCATATAATAGATACCAAATAAGGATCAGCTGATTAAATAAGTTAATCAATATCAAGAATGACAAGCGTGCCACTGCCATTAAAAAGTCTTCATATTCTAAGATTGAAGCTTGATACATACAAAGATTGCATTTTGATTAGTGTGTATTAGGCTTCTGTTTCTTTGGTCACTTTATATAGGAAATAATTCACATTTGTCAGATCCCTAAGGACACTTCTCAACAAGGAGAATTAAACCTGATGTTTCTGTTCTAGTATAGACTGATTTTTATCAAAGTCACTTTTTTTTGCTACCAAAAATGTTTCCAAGGCAATGTATACAATGTTTAATAGCATATGAGGCCCAGAGAGAAAGATGTCATTTTTAGTCCCTGCTTCTGTTATCAATTTATTTTGCCCAGGCTCAGCAGTTTTCCCAGTTATACACTAGATAATACAGTGGTTGGAAAGAAACACCTGATTTTTTTTTTTTTTTTTTTTTTTTTGAGTTGGAGTCTCACTCTGTCACCCAAACTGGAGTGCAGTGGCTGCCACTGCATCCTCGACGTGCTGGGCTCCGGCGATCCTTCTGCCTCAGCCTTCCAAGTAGCTGGAACTACAGGCACACACTACCACGCCCGGCTAATTTTTGATTTATTGTAGAAATGAGGTCTTGTCGAGTTGCCCAGGCGGGTCTCAAATCCGCGGGCTCAGGCAATCCACTCACCTCAGTCTCCCAAGGCACGGGATTATGGGCTGAACCACCAAGACTGGCTAACACCTGATTTTTGAGAGGAAAAAAGTTGCACCATGAATCAAGAGAATTCTGAGAAGATTCACTTAAACACAAGGCTAAATTACAGGAGAAAGATGTGAAAGCATTTTGCTAGTTCTGACATCTTGCAGTCTGTATGTTACTCAGTGTCTTCTGCCTCCCCTGTACCCACCACATTGAGCAGTCATGATGGCGGGGTGGCATAGATGGGATATGGTAGCTGGCAGGAGCTGCTAGGTAAGAGTTGTCCACAGAGCAGTCCACAAGCCTTTTAGAGCCAACCTTGGAGCCCAGCTGGAACATAAGGTGTATGAGAGTGAAGGCTTTGCCTGGGTCTTAGCCATGTCCTCAGTGAATTCACTTGCATTCTCCCCTCAGATGAGCTCCGAGACAACGACAGCATTTGTGACAGCGGCGTGGAGACATCCTTCCGCAAACTCAGCTTCACAGAGTCTCTGACCAGCGGCAGCTCATTGCTAACTCTTAACAAAATGCCCCCCGATTATGGGCAGGAAGGCAAAATTTAGCCTGCTGGCAGTTTGTGTAAACCAAAGCCCTAAACTTCCACTGCATTGTCCAAAAGAAGGAAGCAAAGTGCATCCAAAGGTGCTCAGAGGAGAGCCAGCCTGCCTGAATCATCATCAATTTAACTTAAGGCCTTTTAAACTTGGCTTCCTTTCTTGGTTCATAAATGAATTTTAGCTTGGCTCACTTGCAGACGGTATCTAGCAATCACAGCACTGGACTGAGCTGATGTAGGGTGGGGGGCGGCAGGGTTAAGTTGCTTACTGAGCTTTGCCGGATTGCTGCTGGATCACAGTTGCTTTCTGTTGTTGTTGCTGCTGTCCCTCTGCTGTGTTCTCACGATCATTAAGGGTATCACTGTTCCTACCCAGTGTTTTTTTCTAGCACAATTGTGCATTCAGATTAAGGATTAAGAAAAGGGATATTTTAAATCGAGACTAATTTGGTGTGCAATAAAAAAAAAGGCTTTTCGCTTTTTCTATTGTGCTTATCTCTGTGATTTGAAAAAACATGTATTTGTCAATATTTAAACATGGTTACAATCAGTGCTGAAAATGGTATTTTCCCCTTTTTCTGCATTTTGCTATTGTAAATATGTTTTTTTAGATGAAATACTTTAAGAAAAAAATGTTGGATTTATAAATGCTATTTTTTATTTTACTTTTATAATAAAAGAAAAAGCAAATTGATGACCTCATGTTGTCTGATCTCTGCAAATACTTTCCTAAGATGAGTCCTTATAATCATGGGATCATTCCACAGCCTAGTTATCACATTCCCCATTAGAGTCCATCTTTTAAATCTAGAAATGAACACAAAAAATCTTATCAAAAGAAAAGTATTTTAACCTGAGATATGAAAGCTTTGGGTTTGTCAAAGCTCCTCCATCTCAGGCAAGACTGTATCTCTTCAGGGTGTTCTTGTCTCCATGATGCATAAAGCATTGAAATTTTAATGTGCCAGAGGTCCCTGGACAGGGAACCTTCCAGCATGAAGCTTTGCTGAACTGCTTTTCCTCAAAGAGTTGGAAATAAGGGAGAGGGGAAAAAAATCAACAGTTTTTGAATGAGGGGCCGTGGGGGTCATTGTGATGTGCAGTCAAGATCCCTCTTTGACAAAGGGCTTGTCTGCTGGGATTGTACTCTCCAAGTCTGCTCCTTCAGGGACTCTCTCCACTGCTGAAAGCCATGTCCCCCTAGGCACATCCATTTCCATGGTGGCCCCCACGCAACACTGATCCATGTGGGTGTATAAAAGCCTATCCAGCCCAGGACAGCACCGAAGTGCTGTTTGAGCTTGAGTCCTTCATGAGGTTGGCTGAAGCTGCACTACACTCAGTTCTCCCTCTGCCAGGTCCTGCCTCCTCCCACCTCTGCCTTCCACATACCTCAGGATCTCCCAAATAAACACCCTGCACATGAATCTCCATCTCAGAGTCAATTTTGGCAGAGAACATGGCCTGCACAGGTGCTGGGAACCATGCTGAACAACAGTTTTGCACATGTTAAGTAATTTAATCTTGAAAATAACTCAGGTGTGTAGAATTATCCCCAATTTACAGAGAAGGAATTTGAGGCTTAAAGAGTTCAAGTAGGCTATAGTTAAACAACTTTTGAGTTTACACACAGCTCTGTCTAGCTCCAGAACTCATAAGTTAGGGCATTATCTTGATAGGATAAGAAGGTAACTAAAAATAGAGTCCAGAAATAGACTCCAAAATATATAGAAATTTAGTATATGATAAAGTAAAATTTCAAATCAATGAGGAAATTATGATTATTTAATAAATAGATGTCCCAACCAGTTAATCACTTGGAAGAAAATCAATCTGAACCCCTACCTCACCCCTTTCATCAAATTAATTTCCAGATGTATCAAAAATTAAACCATAGAAATACTAGAAACTGTGAATAAATAATCTTGAAGAAGGAAAAACTTTTATAAACAAGACTATTCTCTGGTGCAAAAACAGTTTGAGTTCTTCATTTTATAGTGCATCCCAAATAAATGGAATCTTAAAGAGAATTCTACTTCTGTTTTCTATTACATTACCATTTCTCCACCCCACCCACCCTCATTATTTCAGTTTTTTAAAACCATATCTATAAAGTGAAGAGTGAAAAAAATACAGCTCTGACCTTCTTTAAGTCTTTTTTTTTTTTTTAGTCAGTCTCACTCTGTTGCCCAGACTAGAAGGCAGTGTCACATTCAAGGCCACCACAGCTTCAACCTGCTAGGCTCAGGCGATCCTTCCACCTCAGCCTTCTAAGTAGTTGGAACTACAGGTGTGCACCACCACACCCAGCTAATTTTTTTTTTTTTTTTTTTTGTAGAGAAAAGGTCTCACCAAGTTGCCCAGGCTGTCTTGAAACCCTGGACTCAGGCAATCCTCTCACCTCAGCCTCTCAAAGTGCTGGGATTACAGGCTTGAGCCACCACACCTGGCCTTTTAAGCCTTAATTCTCACACAAGTAGCCATGTCACCATTCCTCTCCAGGACCTCTCTGGGGCAGATAGGTGTCCCTCTGGCCACACCAAAGTCTCCTGTCTTACAACATGATACTGGTACTCCTCCCACTGAGGGGAGGGGCTTGCGTTCCTTCTCTGCTAATCTAAGCAGGCCTGTGACAACAGTGGAAGAGATGCTAAGTAACTTACCAGGTTAAGTCATAAAATGTAATACAACTTCCCAGTGGTGCTAGGTCGCTGCCTCTTAGAACCTGGTTATCATGCTCTGGGGGAGCCAAGTGACCACATAGAGAAATCAAATACAGGTGTTGGTCAGCAGCCTTACGGAGGTCCCAACCAGTGCCAGAACCAACCTCAAGATATGTGAAGGGAGTGGAGCCTTCAGGAAATTCCAGCCCTCAACCATTGAGTCACCCCATCTGGCCTTCAAACTGCCTCAGCTGATGCTGCCCAGAATAGAGACAAGCTGTTCTGCTGAGCCCTGCCCAAATTGCAGATTCGTGAGCAAATTAAATAATGTGTTTTTTTTTCTTTTTTTTTTTTTTTGAGTTTAAGTCTCACTTTGTCATCCAGGCTGGAATACATTGGCACACTTGTGGCCAGTGCAATCTTGACCTGCTGGGCTCAGGTGATCCTTCAGCCTCAACCTTTTAAGTAGCTGGAACTACATGCGCATGCCACCATACCCAGCTAATTTTTTGATTTATTGTACAGATGAGGTCTCACCAAGTTGCCCAGGCTGGTCTTGAACCCGTGGGCTCAGGAGATCCTCTCACCTCGGCCTCCCAAAGTGCTGGGATTATAGGCGTGAACCACTGCACCGGACCATGGTTGAGGTTGTAAGCCCTAGCTGTGGAATGGAGTAGAGTGGACTGTCACCATTCTCCAGGTCTCTAACTTGACAGTTCCCTACTAAGAGTTAACTTGAAAGAGAAGCTGATTTGAGGATGAGGAGCAATTAAGCAACTCATGTCAAGACAGAAAAATAACACTCTCCTTCTTTCATAAGAAGACTCTTTTCTGTTCCAGAAATAAGATCTCAGTCCTGGTCTGCTAGGACAGGAAGATCACCAGTGCTATCTGGATCTCTGTAGAAGGAGTATTTTTCTGTTTTTCTTTTTCTTTTTTTTTTTTTTGTGTTGGAGTCTCACTCCGTCGCCCAGACGGGAGTGCAGTGGCACACTTCCGGCCACCGCAGCCTCGACCTGCTGGGCTCCGGAGATTCTTCCGCCTCAGCCTTCCAAGTAGCTGGAACTACAGTTGTGCGCTACCATGCCCGGCTAATGTTTTTGATTTATTGTAGAGATGAGGTCTCGCCAAATTGTCCTGGCGGGTCTTGAACCTGCAGGATCAGGCAATTCACTCACCTCGGCCTCCCAAAGCGTGGGATTACATGCTGAGCCACCGAGCCTGGCCGTATTTTTCATATTGTACCAGCAGATGGGGATAAACCAAAAGGAATGCAGGAGATTAGGTGGGACGCTACAATGGGCCTGAAATAAACCTTCCCGGAAAGCTTGTGTCATAGCAGGAGACCATTTAAAAATAGCTTCCTCAGAACTTCAGTCATTTTTGAGGTTTCTGTACTCTGCAGGCATAACCCAGACTTTTTCAGGATCAGTGGCCTTTCTTTTCAGCAGAAGGAAGCCCTGCTGCTGTTTATTTACCCACCTGAGCCCCCTGCAGTAGCTGTATGTGGCACAGCCATGCCTGGTCACCACTATGGAGTATAGACCCTCAAATGTCCATGGCCTTTTGTACATTTTAGCAGGAGAAAGGAGGAGAGGAAAGAGCCAGCTGAATTTGAGCATTTATTACATGCCAAGCCTTTGAATTAATGAGTTCTAATGACAATTCTCAAGACATTCTAGGAATTATATTGAACCCCAGTTTAATGGAGGGAAACATAATGGGAAGCTGTTAAATAACTTACCCCAAGCTTATCAACCCCAATCAAACCCAAGCCTATCTGATTCCAAAGACTATTCTTTAGTGAAGTCTGAAATCCTTTGACAAAAGGATGCTTTTTTTTAAAAGAGAAAGAAAAATGCATAGAGATCTATATAAAGTCTATGGGGTCATCATGTACCCAAGCAAAATGCAAAATGCACCCACTAAAAGAATAAGTTGTTTGGTTAAAATGACTTGATTTTGTTTCTAATAACAGGCAAAGAGCTTAAATGTGAATCATTCATTGACTGGAGGTTGTTGCATTTCTTTCTTCTCGCCATTTTGTGCTTTTGGAGAAAACTATCCTGATGTGTGTGTCCCCAGGTAATGAACATAGGGAGGGGGGGCCAAGAGAGGGTGAAACTAAAAGTGTTCATTTTTTTTTTTTAGATCATCTAAGTTAGGGTTAGGTAAGATCTTAAAGATCAGATCATCTCCCTAGACAAATCATCCAAGTCTTTGTCTTTTCATAAATACTTACAGTGTGAGAGAATCTCCTCTCTACTAGCCTCACTATGGCAGGCTGCTTCATGCAAATACAATCCAAGACTACACGCTCCTGTCCACTGGTTTCCTAGGTTTGGGTTTGACTTTGGGATTGGGGGAGACACTGAAGAGGGTCTTGAAATTAAATGGATTTCATTCCATTATTATGGTTTCCACTATGTCTACAATAGCCTGCTTCTGTTACCCTAGTCAAGTGAATAGTTCTACAAGTTGTTCAAGTTTCTTAGAATGAGAGGGAGAGAGAAGCTGAGATAACATCTTCTCACTTTTGTCAGCTAGCTTTTTCTTTGCAAAATGATTATCTCATTGAAATTTCACAATAGCCTTCAAGGAATGAAGATATGTATTCAATCAAGATCTCTTGGGCATCTGTTGCATACTCCGCACTACAGTGGGTGGTCATCACTCAGTATCTCTTATTACTTTCTCAAAAACTTTGTGAGGTAAGTATTTTTGTCCGTGTTTCACAGATAAGGAAACCGAGGCACATAAAAACTATTACTGCAGGGTTTCCTGACTCCAGTAAGATGTTTTAATAGACAACATTTGCAGCAGGAACAGGTGATTAGAATGTCTCTGTTCCACTTAGTCATGCAGAGATCCAGGCTGATAGTCATTTTTCCTCCAACACTTGGCTCCCAAGGTCTTTCTGAGGGTGATAGTCTCAATCAGCTGGAAAGGGGAAAAGCTGAGAGGAATACATGTGGGAGTTTGAATGTGTCATTTTTTGTCATGCTGCGCTGGAGAAAAACTTTGATCCCGTGGCCACAC